AATAAAAAAAAAAAAAAAAAAAAAAAAAAAAACAAACCAAAACCCAACCCCACATCTTTATCCATTTGTTGGTTGATGGGCATTTGGGTTGTTTCCAAGATACAGCTATTACAAACTGTAATAAGCAGGTGTGCATATACTGCTGTTGCTCCTAAGTTTTTTTGTTGTTGTTTTTTTAAAAGTCATGTCTCATGGGAAGTATCCTTTCTGGATCAGCACATACTGCTTTGCCTTATTCTTTTCTTTTTCATGACTGCATAGTGTCCTAGAGTAGAGAAAGGCCAACATATGTTTTCCCGCTCCCTCACTGACATTTAGTATTTACTAGTGGATAAAGCGGGATACCGCAGCACCTGCGGACAGTATCGCATCCTCCTGACACTGATGACCGGGACCGTGCAATTGACACTTCTTAAACTATGCTCATCAAGCACTGTTGCATAGATTATTTTAAAATAGTGGTTTTTTTTTTGTTTTTGTTTTCTGAGACTGGGTTTTGCTATGTAGCCCAGCTGGTCTTAAGCTCAGCATCCTCCTGCCTCAACCTCCCAGATCCTGGAAATAATTTTTCATTGTGATATTGGGGAGTGAATCCAGGGCCTCACCTACACTAAGCATGTCCTTTACCTCTGAGTTACACTCCAAACTCACTGTAATCCTCTCAACAGCCTTATAAGGTAGGCATAGTCATGAATATGACTCCATTTTAGAGATGAGGAAATTGAGGCCCGGGGTGGTGAAGCCTCACTGAAGGTCTTTCTTGGGTAAGGAACATGCAGTTGTATATATCCAGGCAGGTTTCTAAGGGGATGACTGGGCTGCCAGAGTTCCTGCCTCCCCGAGTGTCCTAGCAGCTCGGGTCCAGTGCTGTTTCCGTTGCAGGCCACTGTGAAGATGGAGGGCGGGAAGATAGTGTTCGACTTTCCCAACTATCGCCAGACCTCAGAGATTGTGGGTGACAAGCTGGTGGAGGTGAGTGTCTGCGGGTTCTGGGCCCATCAGTCCGACCCTGTTCTGAGTGACCAGCCAGGCACGGCTCTGACACAAAGCTGGGCCAAATGCGAGGCGCTCTGACTGCGGGGCACAAGTCAGAACCTGAGGGCTTTCTCCGGTGAGTGAAGGTGCTGTCGGAGGGTACCCAGTGAGGACAACATTTTCACGGGGCTTTCAGGCCCTTCTTGCCAGGTATTCTGATTTTTTAGAAGAAGCTGGAAATCTGCATTTCTCTGTGAAATTCCCACATGATTAAGTGTTGGCAGCTGCTTACTTTTTTTTTTTTTTTAATGCTGGAGGGTCCAACAAACACACAGCGGTGGGTGGACCTTTCCCATCCTCACGCCTTGTAGACGTGGGTGGGGGCTGCTTGGCACCTTTGTTTCTTTGTCTCTTCCTCCTGGGGCTCCAGAGTTTCCCCAGGTGGAAGAGATGAAGGGAGGTTAAAAGGGAGCAGAAGTTGTTTTCGGACCTCTTGCCCACATTGCTGGGTCGGCACAGGTCTGGAAGGGGTTCTCCCTCCCCTCAGGCCCTCCGTGGGGAGGCAGGCTTGGCCCCTTCTTCACCACCCTCTTCCAGCGCTAAGCTATATCCCCAGACCCTTCTGAACAATTTATTTTGAGACAAAGATCCCTGAATTGTCACTTCCCACTTTTGATTTGTGTGTGCTTCCTTGTCATGTCCCCTGGGAGAGAAAAACCCGGCCTTGGAGATTCGGGGTTTAGCATATGCACTGCGCTGGGGGACACTAACATAAAGGTTCCGCTGTGGCCCAGGAGGCTCAGTGCTGCCCTATTATTCCCATTCTAGCGAAGCTCTGGGTCTCAGAGACAGCGTATGACTTGCCCCGGGCTGCACAGCTAGAGCACAGTAGAGATGGACACCATCCCGACTTCCAGGCCAGACTCTCCGCCTGTCCTCCCCAGCCTAGTGGGTCTTCTTCCTTCCCCTTCATTTTTTGTTTTGTATTATTATTGTTATTGTTATTGTTATT